GGAGAGGGTCACATAGCGGGGTGACATGTGATGGAGAGGGTCACATAGTGGGGTGACATGTGATGGAGGGGGTCACATAGTGGGGTGACAGACGATGGCGGGGGTCACATAGTGGGGTGACAGACGATGGCGGGGGTCACATAGTGGGGTGCAGACATTATCGGGGGTCCCCCTGTATGGGGGGAGGGCTCACCTGAGGGATGTGCTCCGTCTCCCCCCCTTTGTCCAGGAAGCCCAGGCGGGCCAGGCCGCTCTCCAGCCGGCACGGCAGCTTCTCCTGAGACATGAGGACATCTCCGAGGGACAGAAAATTCTCCTCCCGGCCCAACCCGGCCTCCACCGCACGGTACGACTCCCACATCGCCCGACCGACCGAATCTCCCGCCTTCAGCCGTCACCATGGACACCGGGGCGGAGCTTCCTGCCTGTCACACAGAGGGCGGGGCTTCCGTCAAGTACCAGAGAGAGAGAGCTGGGATTGCCGCCCAGTCACAGCGGGGCTTTGTGCAGAGACGCAGTAAGCGGACGCCACCTGCTGGACGCTGCACTGCAACTACACCGCCGCTTTGTCCAATGACCAATACAAGGGTTATTGATCACTCTTATATCATTATTATTGATTTGCAGACATGAGCTCTGTATATAATATACACTGTGCACGCACGGGCAGATATCGGTGACATAGGCAGTAGCGTAGGGTAAGGCCGTGTATTATAGGAGATATGATGTCTGTTGACCTCCCACTGACATCTATTCCCAGTTCTCTCTCCATGCCTCGTCCACCATAAACCATCATTCCCATTTCCTGGACTCCAGGACTGCTCGGTGACCCCTCCATGGAAGGGGACATCCAGGGACGGTGTGTGTTGTCCCTCCTATACAATGCTCACACCCCCAGCGCTGAGATTCAATACACACAGGACACGTGAAGTGGAACAAAATGTTTATTTAGAGAATAACACATCCGCAGCCGGCCCATAGATGAACACGGGAGGGGCCCCGGGGCCCAGACATGGCTCTACATCACAATGGCTGCCTTCAGCTGCTCCCAGGACCGGCGCTGAGTCTTCAGAGAGAGCTGTGGGTCAGACGCGGACATGTTTAACACCGGGGTTCAGGACTTACACACCACATGATGTCACTCATACAAGTCAGGGAGGGTCACAGGTAAGTCAGGGAGGGTCGCCTAGCACAGGTAAGTCAGGGAGGATCACCTAGCACAGGTAAGTCAGGGAGGGTCACCTAGCACAGGTAAGTCAGGGAGGGTCACAGGTAAGTCAGGGAGGGTCGCCTAGCACAGGAAGGTCAGGGAGGGTCACCTAGCACAGGTAAGTCAGGGAGGGTCGCCTAGCACAGGTAAGTCCGGGAGGGTCGCCTAGCACAGGTAAGTCAGGGAGGATCACCTAGCACAGGTAAGTCAGGGAGGGTCGCCTAGCACAGGTAAGTCAGGGAGGGTCGCCTAGCACAGGTAAGTCAGGGAGGGTCGCCTAGCACAGGTAAGTCAGGGAGGGTCGCCTAGCACAGGTAAGTCAGGGAGGGTCGCCTAGCACAGGTAAGTCAGGGAGGGTCGCCTAGCACAGGTAAGTCAGGGAGGGTCGCCTAGCACAGGTAAGTCAGGGAGGGTCGCCTAGCACAGGTAAGTCAGGGAGGGTCGCCTAGCACAGGTAAGTCAGGGAGGGTCGCCTAGCACAGGTAAGTCAGGGAGGGTCGCCTAGCACAGGTAAGTCAGGGAGGGTCGCCTAGCACAGGTAAGTCAGGGAGGGTCGCCTAGCACAGGTAAGTCAGGGAGGGTCGCCTAGCACAGGTAAGTCAGGGAGGGTCGCCTAGCACAGGTAAGTCAGGGAGGGTCGCCTAGCACAGGTAAGTCAGGGAGGGTCGCCTAGCACAGGTAAGTCAGGGAGGGTCGCCTAGCACAGGTAAGTCAGGGAGGGTCGCCTAGCACAGGTAAGTCAGGGAGGGTCGCCTAGCACAGGTAAGTCAGGGAGGGTCGCCTAGCACAGGTAAGTCAGGGAGGGTCGCCTAGCACAGGTAAGTCAGGGAGGGTCGCCTAGCACAGGTAAGTCAGGGAGGGTCGCCTAGCACAGGTAAGTCAGGGAGGGTCGCCTAGCACAGGTAAGTCAGGGAGGGTCGCCTAGCACAGGTAAGTCAGGGAGGGTCGCCTAGCACAGGTAAGTCAGGGAGGGTCGCCTAGCACAGGTAAGTCAGGGAGGGTCGCCTAGCACAGGTAAGTCAGGGAGGGTCGCCTAGCACAGGTAAGTCAGGGAGGGTCGCCTAGCACAGGTAAGTCAGGGAGGGTCGCCTAGCACAGGTAAGTCAGGGAGGGTCGCCTAGCACAGGAAGGTCAGGGAGGGTCGCCTAGCACAGGTAAGTCAGGGAGGGTCGCCTAGCACAGGTAAGTCAGGGAGGGTCGCCTAGCACAGGTAAGTCAGGGAGGATCACCTAGCACAGGTAAGTCAGGGAGGGTCACCTAGCACAGGTAAGTCAGGGAGGGTCGCCTAGCACAGGTAAGTCAGGGAGGGTCGCCTAGCACAGGTAAGTCAGGGAGGGTCGCCTAGCACAGGTAAGTCAGGGAGGGTCGCCTAGCACAGGTAAGTCAGGGAGGGTCACCTAGCACAGGTAAGTCAGGGAGGGTCGCCTAGCACAGGTAAGTCAGGGAGGGTCGCCTAGCACAGGTAAGTCTCCACCATACTGCCGGAGCATTACCTCAGCAAGCTCCACCTTCCTCTCCCAGGTTCGGATACTGTTCTCCAGCTCCTCTTGTTGCATCTTCTCATGGACGTAGTCCAGCACAGCCGGGACCCGATAGTCACTCAGCTGCTTCCTCAGCTTCTTATTCAGACTCTCAGCCTTGGCCCGTTCCTGCAGATACAGTACAGAGAACTTCTACTGTATGACCCAAATCACCAACTGCTGTTACCCCGGGCTGTCCCTGAAGACCCGAGAACTTCTATAACCCCAACACATTCCCCAACCACGTCCCTCAGATGACCAACTGCTGCCCCCCAATCCTCTGTGACCCCGGCCTGTCCCTGAAGACCCGGGAACTTCTATAACCCCAACACATTCCCCAACCACGTCCCCCAGATGACCCGCTGCTGCCCCCCAATCCTCTGTGACCCCGGCCTGTCCCTGAAGACCCGAGAACTTCTATAACCCCAACACATTCCCCAACCACGTCCCTCAGCTGACCCCCAATCCTCTGTGACACCGGCCTGTTCCTGAAGACCCGAGAACTTCTATAACCCCAACACATTCCCCAACCACGTCCCTTAGATGACCAACTGCTGCCCCCCAATCCTCTGTGACCCCGGCCTGTCCCTGAAGACCCGAGAACTTCTATAACCCCAACACATTCCCCAACCACGTCCCTCAG